AAGTTTGCTGCTCTCCCCAGCCCAGAATTCCCTCAAATCACTGCTAGTCCTTAACTTTAAAACTTTAAGTACTGAAGCAAATTGAGCTATTTCATTCTTTCTATTTGTCTTCAAAGTCTAACTGATCTTTTATTTTCATTATTTGAACTAATATGACCATGCATTTAAGATTTTTTAGAAGATAATTGGATACATTCAAGTCAGCCTGCCACATGTGACCTTGTTCTGCAAACTCTTCCATAGCTACACCATCACTACTTTTGAAGCTGATGCATGAGTGACCACAGTAGAACACACAGACACACACACACACACACACACACACACACACACACACACATATACATATGCCTTTTAGGATGTCTCAGATCAAAGATACTAGAGTTTGCCAGTGAAAGGCAGAAAATACAAAGAGGAAATTCAAGATTGAAGCCAAAATCTAAATCCCTATGCAACTATGACTGGAATTCTGGAAGGTCTTGCTTACTATCATTCAATCCCTTAGAGTTGTCGTCTCAGAAATATTCAACATCAGAAAACTAAAATTCTTAAATGGCTCGCAAAAGAGACTGAGTATTTGTACAATTTCTCCCCTCTTAAGGGCAGAAAGAGATGAGACCCAAGTCTCCATTCCCAGTAGAACAAATGAGTTGTATTTGCTTCCTCTAAGAATGACTAGGATTGCCTGATAGCAAAAGGTTTGCTTCCAGGCCGTGAGATTAGAAGAAAAATTATATACCATACCTCAGAGCTCTCAAAACAAATTCAAATGTTTCTAGAGATGTATTGCAAACCAATAAACCCACTACATCTACATTATCTTCTTTTTTTAACCACCTTTCCTTTCTTCATTCTTTTTCTCCCCTATACACACACACACACACACAATCATATTCTCATTTTTATGTACATGTACTAAGCCTATAACCTAAGTAAACCAGGATGCCAACGAAAGCAAATTTCACCCTCCAACTTAAAACATTTAAAAGACACTGGTACCACTAATTCTATAAGTCCTCTGTCAATAGGAACAATATCCTCCACTTTGCCTTCTCAAATTTGTGCACTAAACAAGATCCGCATAGAGGACTTACCAACCAAAACCAGGGAACAGATAAATAGTGATGTGCAATCCTATGCAGCATTTTCTCCACAATTTGAGAAACTAAATTCCACTTTTCCAGACCATTGCTCAGATTCTTTTTACCTTATCTACCAAACTATATTCAAAATTACATTTGCTTTAGTTTCTAGAGCTCAGAAAACTCAAATGTGGCTGGGTTTATTTACCCATACAAAAGTCACCTTTAGGGCTCCAGTCTTTGGGTTAGAGTCTCAGCTCCAGAAAAAAAGGAAAAAAAAACAAAAAGTTTAGTGCCACCAAACCTTGAGAGCTGAACAGTGAAATTATAAATGATGGCAGAGCTGTCATGGAAGGATAAAGGAATAGTAAGGAGCCAGCAAAGTAACCAGTCACTAGGAACTCTCTTACATCCTTTGCCAGTGAAACCACGCAGGTTATTTCAGCTTGCCAACTAGAATGTGAACTCTCTTAGGACAGAAGTTACAGTTTATGTTTATTTAGAATTCTCATGGTATCTGCTACACAACTGAGTACACTTAAGACTATGAAAATGCTTACTGATTTGATCTAACGTCATGGTGATAAACTTCAAAGTGGGATGAAGGGGAAGCAGCACGTAGTAAGCAAGCTCAGCAGTTGTAACTCCACTCAACCAAAATGCCATTTTGTGTAAGACCTATAACTGACTCTGCAGTTAATGAAGGGAGTGGGTTGGTCACAAAAAGTAGCCCAGGAGAGTAACCTAAAGTGTAGTGACCCTTGGTCTCAATCTGAAAGATAAGAATTTAACTTATGCTCAAGAAATAAATGTCATCCTGAATCAAAATTACCTGTTTACTTGTCTGTTTCCTTGCAAGCTCCCTGGGGCCAAAGATCAAATGTTTTATTTTGTATCCCTGGCAAGCAATAAATATAGTGTCTTTCACATTCTAAATGTGCAATTAATGTTAGTTGGCTTGAATTAATAAATAGATAAAAAATGATTCACTGAAATAAAAGAATGTAAATAACATAATACAATTTAATAGCAAAATCTCCACAGAATTGCATACTTATCATTCACTGCTATAACTTTAATAAATGTGTTTTTTAGATGGACTAATCAGTTAATAAGAAAAATATAAAGAAATGTCAGGAAATATATAAGGATATTATTATACTGGGAATTGCATTGTACCCCATGGTAGTATTTAACATGCCATATTGCAAGTCACCTATTTGTGTTTTTCTGTCCCTATTAAAATGTGTATTCATTGTCTTTTTCATCACTACAACTCCAGAGCCTAAAGCAGTGCCTTCCAAAAGTAAACACTTGACACGTATCAGTTGAATAGATAAGTGAATCATTCTTACTGTTTTATAGACTTCACTGGACCTAAGTGTTCTATTGAGTCCACATTTAGAGGCTTCCAGTATGGTGGGATAAAAGAAAGTGTCATTTTCCCCATGCAGAACTTTGTAACACATAAAGGTTAAATGGTCTGGTTTGTGCGAAGCAATGAGTAGTTCCTTCCCCTTTTTAAATGGGTTTGTTGATTAAGCTCTCCAAGACTGCATATTGAAGGTACATGCTTAATCTCACATTATCTAGCATATTGTGTCTTGGATCTGCCGAGCCCTATGTACCAGATCTGTGTGATTTTGTTACAAAAGGAGGACATTCGGCTTTGTGAGTCCAAAAGTGCATCCGAACTGAGACTTCAGCTTTCTGAATAATTGAAACAATGCCTTGCTTATTCTGCCAATAAGGAAATCTCAGGAAGGATATCAAGATCTTTCGTAAATCAAGCAATCATAGAAATATCTCTACTGGCCCTTCCATGTATTTCACAGCACTGGGGCTAACATTTCCCTATTACCTTGAACTGACTGCATAAATGATTGCTGTGTCCTTGGGATTCATTCCTCAGGATTTTGTTTATCTCCCCAAGCAGCAGCAATATCAGCAATTAAACCCACAACCTTGATATCTTTCACCTCCACTGTTGAATGACCAGAATGAATAGTCTGGCCACACCATTTGTAAGTCATTTCTATATATACTCTGTTTCTTTTGTTTGTTTGTTTGTTTGTTTGTTTTCTGGTACCAGGAATCTAACTCACGATCTTGTGCTTGCCAGGCAGGCGCTGTGCCTCTGAGCTAAATCCCCAGCCCAAGTCATATCTATATAGAACAGTCTAAATTTACATTTGGTTATAAGACGGGTGCCTAGGGAGACATACTCTGGTGAGCAGGCCATTGCTGATAGTGATTCCCCAATTCTCTAATAAAATGATCCACTATTTAGGGGCACCAATGAATAAGAGCTTTTACATTACACAAGGGCATATTCTTTGGAACAACACTGCATGGCATATGGACCCATTTTGTAGATGAGAAAACAGACTAAGAAAAATGCCATAGAAAGAGGTGATTCTACTTTAGAGCACTACATTTTTGTCTCCTTTTCTAATTTGTTGATGGTCCACAAGTAATATTCCAAGTAATCTGTGGTCTATGTTCTAGTAGTATTGATGGACATTAATAAATATAATTGAGCTTACATGGTATAACACTAGACTTTCAGTACATCATTATTTATAGAGTTATAAACTGAAAATATTGGTGTTTTGTTGCCAGCAGTATATTATCAGTGTTCAGTAAATATTGCTTTTTTGTCCCATTAGTTCTGGTGGAAATTATATTTTAGGAAATCTCAGGAAAGATATCAAGATCTTTGGTAAATCAAGCAATCATAGTCATATCTCTACTGCCTCTTGAAAAGCCAGCATGAATCCATAAGTCCCTCTTGACCATACACTGATTAATAAACATTAAGCACCCTAAGAGTAGGAAATCAATATAAAAAATATGAGATCATTTCAGGTATGTGATAACCTGGGTATATCAGGTTGAATTATTCCTGAGACACAAATGTATCACTGAAATAGCACTCACTGGGAAATGCAGAACCCTATGATATATGCTTCCCTCTTTTGATGACCCACTGTGTGAGTCTTCATAACTCACTTAACATCTCTGGACTTCTCTTTCATAATCCACTGAGAGGCAATCTATTCAGGAATCTGATTAGGAGCATCAAGAAAATAGATATGAAGCTGTTTTGATAAATGTAGAAGTATTCTACAAATTTAAAATATCCCTAGAAGAAAGCATACACTCTCTGTGCTTCAAATTTCCAGCAAAAAAAAAAGGATTTAAGTAATTCATAGAAAAATGAAATCAATTTAAAATCTGTTACTTGTAGCCTTGCACCCAGCTACCATCGTGAGCTTACCACCCTACTACCTTTTTTTTTTTTTTTTTTTTTTTTTTTTTTTTTTTTTTTTTTTTTTTGGTTTTTCTCCAGTACCAGGAACCAAACTCACGACCTTGCGCTTGCCAGGCAGGCGCTTTGCTGCTGAGCTAAATCCCCAGCCCCCCTACTACCTTGAAATATTTCAATAGCCATTGAGCTTCCGACCACATTGGGTTTTTCTAAAATGATTCCATTTGAAAACATTCAAACACAGTAAAGGGAAACAAAGTTAACTCAAATACATAACTATTTCCTACATTTTCATGTCAGTGACAGCTTCAACCTCCTCATCTCTCAAACATTATTACTAGAACTACTACAAAAATGGCAAAGTGACTTTTTCAATATTGCTTGCCTCCCATTAACCAGCTCATCCATATTCTTGGCAAGATGCTAGCAAACAGAAAAATGGTGTGAGGGAGGTAAAAAGCAAAGGTGGGTTTTAAGAGGCTGAACTCTCACAGGACAGCCCTCCCCTCCCCACCGCCAGCATGAGAGGGTTTCACTTATTTTCAGTACCACTGGGTGAATTTGCTCTAAACTACTGCAACTGGCACACTGTCAAGCAGCTCAAGAAGATCAGAAAAGGCCTCACAGAGCTACTTGTCTGCACTCACCTCAGGCAGAGGCACACCATTGATGATTAGATCTGGCTGCTGGGGGCCCTGGCTGTTGAAAGAGTGATGGTAGATGTGGTTGGCACTGGTATTTCGGGTATTCTGGTTCTCCACGTTCAGGAAAGTGCTCTCTGAGCGGCGGCAACCCAGAGGCAGTGTCTGCTGGTGATAGTCGAAATAGTTGAGGGAGGAGGTCAGGGAGGAGCAACTGACAACATTCATTTTGTCTGTCTCTTCCACATCTCGGGGTACCAGGCGGATATCATTCTTACTGATTTTTTTCTTCTTACTTGATTTCTTTTGATGCCCATAGGAGTACTCAGCGATTCTATGTGATAGAAAAGCCAGCATGAATCCATAAGGCCCTCTTAACCATACACTGATTAATAAACATTAAGCACCCTAAGAGTTGCCCCCCATTTCTGCTCCAGCTCCTCATTCTGGTGCATTACCTCATCAGGTTTCTTCCTGTGCTTTTCACATGAGAAAACAAGCTGAGAGCCATGAAGTTTTCATATTAAACATAGTAACCTCCCACTTCCCCCCCAGAAAAAGTTCCTGTACTCTAGATTTGTAATTTTTCATGTTGAGTGGGTAATGAGCAGGGTGAGGGGATGAGGAAAGTTGAGCCTCCGGGAGAGAAAACCTGAAAATGCTTAAATCTGGATCTTTATTGGAACCCGAAGGAACTCACAGGTGAAGTAAGCAGCAAGTCTCAGTTTAAAAGAAGAGGAAATAAAGAAAAATCTGTTTTAAAAACCTCCTTTCCAGCTCCTCCAGGCATGAGCTATGTGGAAAGCACCCTGAATCTGCCTCCTCTATTATTGATGTGATAAGTTTTGGACGGGTGGGGGGGGTGGGGGGGTGGTACATTAGACCCTGTCCTTTGACATCTTCTTAGCGACTCTTCTCCACACCCTCCTCCCAGCTCTAGCCTGGACCCCTTCAACTTTCCACTCCACCCACTCCTCTCCTAGAGAAATCTGATAGCCAAATCCATTTGAATGGGGGAGGGATGCCTTTTTACCTCTTTCCCCTTAGGCTCACTTTCTCCTCTGCCTTTTTGTCTTGCTCCTCGCTAATGGGAGAAACCGAGGTGCAATGCAGACACTTGCTGTTTTGTCCTTTTATAAAACAGCCGAGGAGACAAGTGATGGTTAAACAATTACTGCAAAGGAATTCAAAGGTTAGTGCATTCAGCATCCTTCTCCATTCAGGTGTACCTACAAGCAGCTGTGCTGCAACTGGAACATAAAGAGCTCAATTTAATTAACACTGACACAGACCAGCTACGTGCCTCAAAGATGCTAAGAATTAGAAGACTTGTCAAAAGAAATACATTAAAATGTAACCAGATTATCAGTGTCATTTTATTACTTTGCACATAATGATTCCACTTATTGTTTAGAAATTCAATTTCTGGGTAATAATCAGCAAAACAATAGGGTTAATAAATAATACAGGTTGATCTTTACAAGGGAAAGACTGTGCCAGTATTTTCACTGACAAAGGTAATTGTCTGAGTTCAAAAACGGGAGCCCAATTCAAGAACCAATTGCAGACCATCTTGCAAGTCTCATAAATGAATGCATTTCAGGAAAAGGCTCTGTAGAACCTAAGAAGAAGAAATCTCTATTTAATCACATAGAAAAGTACTTTCCTGAACTTTAGGTTTCTAAGAAGTCTGAGCAGATGGGGAAATTGCATGTCTGAGGAGGGAATTTCTTGCTGTATCCCCAGGATAGAGCTAAGCAATTGAGTTCCCCTCACCCTTTCACTTGGCGCCCAAGCAGATTTGCAGTGAAGGTAAGCTGATGCTGTTTAAGCTTGGGAGCAAATAAAATGCCCCAAGCCCCAGGAATAGGGTTGATTTTCTTCTCTAATCTGTTTGCAAATAAATGTGAAGTTCTAAGCATTTTGTTTAGCATGATGGGCAAGTTTAGCAATGCCACATCCAGTTATTCAACCAAGACATTCGTTGCACACCCCTTTCTATATTGAGTATTTAATTAAACTGTACTTCATTAATTCCAAACCATCACAGAGAAGAGAGTGCTTTATACAATACACATTTGGGTGAAGTTTGAGAGCACTACAATTTGCATCCCCCCATTCAAATGTTCTCCTCCCAGTTTAATGATCTCCCTGGCAAGCTCTCAGAAAGAGCTCGCACTTCTAGTCATACTACATCACCAAGAGGTGACGAAGCCTTCACTATCTTTATTTCAAGCTTATTCATTTTTCATCAAAGAAAGGGACTTATGAATTAACTTCTTACTGGGAAAAGGGCTTTAAAAATGTGCATTCTACCATTATCTCCATATAAACAAAATTTTATATACCTTGCATTTTTCTATAAAAATCACCACTGGCAGTCACAGGTTTGAAAGGTAAAAGCAATATTAATTTCGATTTCTCTCATCTGAAATGACTCAGTGCTGAAGGAAAGAAAAGTCATGGCCATTTCACTAGTAACAGGATTAAAGCATTTATGAGGCATTGCAGCTGCTCTTTTATGGCATCTGATTGATATTCATGTGTGGTTAGCATTTGTCTACTAACTTGTGTAATGCAGAGAATAGTAAAAGGGAAACAATAATTGCATGGCTGTTACATATTCAGGGGGCTCTGATTCACAGAAATGTGCATTTCAGAAGGTGTCAAATATCAATCTGACCTACAGGAACATATTTTGACTGATTAACATGCAAGCACAGATGGCACAAATGACATACTGTATAAGTAGGTGTGTTGAAAGTGTATAGGCACACACACACAAGCGCATGCATGCACACACACACACACACACACACACCTTGGTTGGAAACAGCATTAGCATTCATTTGCAGCAAAGTAAAGAAACAACTTTTTTCAACCACTTTGATGAGACACTGCTGGAAAAAAATTATATGTGTTATTCTAAAGTTGACTCAAGATGTTCTTAAGATTTTTTTTTTATCGAATTGTAAGGAAAGACTTCAGCAAGACACTCTAATATACTATTCAGGATTTTTTTTTAAAAATTACATATCATTTGAGTTTCTACATTTTTCTTCTCTACTCTTTTCTAGTCTCCTCTTGCTCCTGCAACACATACACATCCTGCACACATTTGTAAGGAAAAATAACCCATACTGACATCCACTAGTAGAGACTGGATCTTAATGACACAGCACAGTCCAAACTGGAGGAAAGCACCATCAACTCCAGAATATTGCTATTTTTACTGAAACATTTGGATGCAGTCTTGTCACTCAGTGGGATATTTGGTCTTCACACACCAACCAAGCAGATATTCGATCACATGCAGATGTCTGACAGGATTTCATTTTATATATCCAGATGTTTGGGGACTGAATACAAAACAAGCCAAGAATAGGCTTAAAAAACATTAATCTCATCCTTCCCCATACACTACAGTTCTCTCATCTCTCTGGTCTGTTTCCCATCTTGGAGGCTCACTCCAAAGCTCCCTCCAGAGTTTATCTCTCCAAAAGAAAAGGGGAGTTACTAGCACTCTCTCTCTTTTCAGTACCTGTCCCCAAAATACTGAGACCCAGCTGTGTATGCGTCTCCCTCTCTCCCTCTCCTCTTCCTTCCTTCTCTCCCTCCCTCCCCTCTACCTAGTGCTCTCTCCTTAATTTTTCTACCATAATTTCATGGAGACAGCTGTGCAAATTTTAAAATGATAATTGCTCTGCTCATCGCTATGCGACAGAATCCATTCAAACAGTAAATTGTTGTCTTCCAGCAAATTGTCAAATCAAAAGAATTGATCAACTTGTACTGTCACAAACTTTTCACCCTCCACAAAGAAGCACTGTGAATAGGCTGCATGCATTTCTGTAGGTAACAGCAGCACGGGGTTTCACAGGGAGACAGACACACCTTACTCATCCGAGACAAAGAAAGAAATAGAAAGAAAAGTTGGCTTTACCTGCAGTTGTAGGTTCGGATCTCTTTGTTGTCTCGCTTGCACTTGATTGCCACGAAGATCATAGTAACAAAGAGTATGCCCGCAATGGAGCCCAGGGCGATAATGAAAATCAGGGATAGGTTCACCGAGCCCATTGATTCTTGGGCATCAAGAGCCGGAGATAGGTAGATTAGGACCAGTGCAGAGGCAGAGAGAGACATTTTGCCATGGTCGTGGGCCACCACGATAAGCTCATAGGAAGCCTTGGAACTCTCTCCGAAGGTTCGCGTGGTTCTGACTTCCCCATTGTCCTGATCTATTTCAAAAAAGCCGCGGTCCCCCTCAGTCATGTCATAGGTGACCCGGCCGTTCTCCCCCTCGTCATAGTCCTCTGCCTTGACAACCGTCACCAGGTAGCCTATGCCTGCGTTTCGGGGGATGTAGACCTCGGCAGTGCCATTAATCAGAGGTGGGGCAGTGATGACAGGGGTATTGTCATTGACGTCGAGGATGATGACCCGCACTGTGGCATTGCTTTGCAGGGAAGGAAGACCCCCATCCTTAGCCAGCACTTTGAATTCGAATGCCTTGGTCTGCTCGTGGTTGAAAGATCGAAGCGCATAGATATCACCGGAGTTGGGATTGATGGAGACATAGGTGAAAACAGGCATGTCCCGAACCTGAGATGGCACTATCTGGTAGGAGACACTACCATTGAGACCAAGGTCCGGGTCACGGGCTGACACGGAGAGCAAGTAGGCGCCAGGAGTATTGTTCTCCTGCACAATGACCTGGTAGTAGGGCTTAGAGAAGTGTGGGTGGTTGTCGTTCTCATCAGTGATGCGCACAGTAAAGGACTTGGCACTTTGCAGCATGGGCACGCCACCATCACGCGCCTGAATGGTAAGGTTATATTGGTCGTGCTGCTCTCGATCCAGCCGTCCATCCACCAGGATAGTGGAAAAACTTTCATACTCCTGCAGCCGAAAGGGTACACTGCCTAGCAAACGGCACTGCACACGTCCATTGAGGCCAGAGTCGCGATCAGACACACGAACCAGGGCAATCACGTAGCCCGGGGGGGCGCTCTCGCTCACCTCCACAAGCTCACTATTGACAGACAGCAGGTTGATAACTGGTGGGTTGTCATTGGTGTCCAGCACACTGACAGTGACCTTGCAGTGTGCTGGTATAGAGTTGGGTCCCAAGTCCTTGGCCTGCACGTCCAGTTCATACACGTGGCCCTCTTCGTAGTCTAAGTCACCAGTAACAGTAACCAGGCCACTGTGCGGGTCGATCTGGAAGAGCTCACGCGTTCTGTCGTTGACATAGCCATAGAAAGAGTAAACAACCTGACCATTAGTGCCCTCGTCTGGGTCACTGGCATTGAGGCGGATGACCGGTGTGTTGGGAGGCGAGTTTTCAGGCACGCTCACAGCATAGGTAGACTCACCAAACACGGGGTTGTTGTCATTGGAGTCAGTCACCTTGATGCTGAGGCCAACAGTGCCCATATGCGGAGGGTCCCCGCCATCGAGAGCAGTGATACGAAAGCTGTAGTGCGACTGTGTCTCGCGGTCTAGGCTCTTCTCCACCACTAGTTCAGCAAAGCGAGATCCGTCGCCCCGTGTCTTGATCTCCAGACCAAACAGCTCATTGGGCGTGAGCTCATAGGTCTGCACTCCAAAGCTTCCTGAGTCAGGATCATAGGCGCTGTCCAGCGGGATACGCGTGCCAGGGCTGGCAGCCTCGGAGATCTCCAACTCAATCTGTGCAGCCGGAAAACTAGGTGCATTGTCGTTCAGGTCTTTGATCTCCACCTTAATCACACAGATCTCCATTGAACTGGACATGACCTCCAGCGAGATGATGCATTTTGGACTCTGGCGGCACAGGAGGTCCCGGTCGATCTTCTGCTTGGTGACCAGCAGCCCGGAGCTGGGGTTGATGTCCACCAAGTGTGGAGCCGAGTTGGACACCACTCTGAAGGCAGAGGCCTGCCGGGGGTCCAGGGCGAAGCCTGCCTCCCGCGCGTCCTTGGCCACGTTAGCTATCACTGTCCCGGCGCGCTGTTCCTCTTCCACTGAATACTTTAGGTTAATGAGGGCGGCCGCTTGCGTCCACAGTACAGCCAACAGCAGTAGCACGGGTAGCAGGAGAGACTCCATGGCTGTTCGAGGCTCTGCTTGGCCTCGCCTCTCCGCACCCCTCCGAGACCGACGCCGCCGGCGCTCCAGCTTCCTGCCGTCTCGGGCCGCCTGTTGCGCGCGCCCCTTAGCCCCGGAGGCCGCGGGAGGAGTCCCGCCCAGGGCGGCCCGGCGGCGCGGGGGATATACCCGCGCCGGCTCCAAGGTTGAGATTTTGGTGGGCTCGGCGGGGGCTTTCTGGGGGCCCGGGGGCTCCAAGGGCCCGAGGGAGCGCAACACGGCCCCGAGCCCCCTCCCTCCAGCCCGGCTACTCAGTTTTCCCCCTTCAAAGTTAGCCAGGCGCGACTGCCCGCAGCGGCGCAGGGCTGCGGATCAGGCGGCTTCTGCGCCGGCCAGACGACAAGCGGCTGAGTCAGGACAGAACTGAAGGAGAAGACAGGGAGGACGGTGCGGGCGAAGCCTTTCAGGCACTGGGCGACCCACCGCAGAGCACCAGCACCGGGGCTGGCGAGTGCGCTGTCTGTGCACCTGGCATGCGCAAGGATCTCCCCCGCCCCAACCAAGAGCTCCGGGCTCACTGCGGAGAGATGACCCGCCTGGAACGCACCCCGCAGGATCCGAGGGGGGTACACTGGCTTCTTCTAGGCCTATTAGGGAAAGAGGTTATTGCAGGCAGGAGTCTGGATTGCTGGCAAGCGCCTCGGGCGCTCAGGGATCTGTCTGAGCCGGTTGGCGGTCCCGCGGCTGGCAGAAGAAGGGGGAGGGGAGAGAGGCTGCCGCTGCAAGATCGCGCTCCCAGTCCCGAGGTTAGCGTCGGAGGGCTGTGGGGCGACTCTGTCCAGGGTCCGACGTGGTCACGGATTCCTCCACGCACACCACACACACACACACACACACACACGCACACGCACACGCACACGCAGTACTTAGTGAGCTGTGGGCGTTTTCGCCTCAGAAATCAAAGTTACAGACACAGCCCAGAACCACGTTAAGTTTGTGAAAACCGGGAGATGGCAATTTGTCCAAAAAGAATCAAAGTCGGGATCTTTTCAGTGGCCCAGTTAGGGAGGGGAAGAGGGGTTGGGGATGAGGGAAGGGGTAGCGACAACAGTACCGGCCAGGAGAGGAGAGGCTACAGCCGCGGTTACCGGGGGCTTCTCCACCTCCCTCGCTTGGGCTGGGATGTAGCTCCAAGGGCCGCCGCCGCTGCCGCCGCCACAGTAGGAAGCCCTCCTAGCTCAGCTGCATGTCGTCTGGGTCCGCCTCAGCAGCTGCCACGGTGGACGGTTCTGTCGCCGCCAAAGTTTACTTGCGGGAGCGTCTTGATTCCATCCTCCCGGAGAGGCGCTGGCTGCGCTGCCTTGGGCTCCCTCCTCTCCCGGGCGCCCGGGCGCTGGGAAGGTCTGTCTTGCTCTCCGTGCCGGCTGTGTGTGAACGTGTGAGAGAGGAAGAGTGAAAGTGTGGTGTGGGGAGTGTGAGCGTGGAGTAAGAGCAAGTAGGAAGAGATGGGTTTGGGTGGGAGGTTTCGGATCTCGGAGGAAGCCCTTTAGCTGGAATAATGCGGAGAAGACGCGCCAGTGGCCTGCGCCGGGTTAGGGACGTGGTTGCTAGTGCCCCCCGGGCAAGCCAGGCGTGGTGAGTGAGAGCCGTGCTGCCGTCTGCGCTAGCTCGTCCGTCTCCCCCTGCACCAACCGCCACTGTTACTGCTGCTGCTGCTCCTCCCGATGCCGCAAACTACTGGCTGTGGAGTCTGGAGAGAGCCGAAGAGAGCCGTAGCTGCCGAGCCGGGCTACGCCAGGCGCTGGCCAATCAGCGCGCGGCCCAGAGGACTCGGGTCTTGGGGCGGGACCAAGGCTCTTGGGGGGTGGAGATGGGCGGGGTCAGGCTGAAACTTACACACAGGCGGGACGGAGCAGTACCCTCGCTCGCGCTTGCTGAGCCCAGCCGGAGTCTTTGGAGGCCGGACGGGCTGGACCCGCAGGGGAAAGAGGGCAGGGTGGAGCGGAGAGGGGATGTGCAGGCGCTGCGGATGAGCTTGCTCAGGAACTGCACACCTCTACAGTTTGCAGCGATTGCAGGAAAGAGGAGGATTTGATTTTCTTGGGGTGTTTATCTCCACATATCTTCATATCTTGAATATACTGTTCATGTTCATTCTTCCCGCCCTCCCCGCCCTGGAATGCTGTTTCTCGATTTCCCTCTTCTCATATTCTCATTATCTCATTCTTGGGTAGTGGAAGAAAGAAAGGGAAGAAGAAAGCGCCTCTGGGAGCGGTATTCATCCAGCCCTTGGCCCATGCGTTTTCTCTTCAGCCTAGAGCTAAAGCTGCCATCCACCAAGACTGTCACCCCCATTCATCCATCCCTGGCAGACGCTGCATTCCCCCGATCCCCGCCAGCAGGGCCCCTGACCCAGTTGAGCTCGCTCCTCTGTTGCTTGTTAATCAAATGAGAAGGTTGGCGCAAGGGCTGAACCTCCGTGGGGTCTGGACACATTTTGTTGCCCTTCACCCCACCCTGTTTGATAATTTGGCTCCCTACAAACTGCACGTTTGAGAAAAGCCTGTGAAGCGGAAGCTGCCGCCGCGCCTCTCCAAGCCAAGCCAGAAGAGCCCGAGCTGGGCAGAAGCTGTGTGGTGGGCGCGACACCTACATAAGTCCCTAGCAGCTGGGAGCCAGCGCTCACATGCTGGGCGCCCCAGCCTTCCCACGGGGCCGCGGTCCCAGAGGGCAGCCAGTCCTGCTTGATCGGCGTGGCCGTGTGGCTTCGGTGTTTGCCAGTACTAAGAAGCCTGAGGTCCGCAGAGCCAGGGCTGACATCGAGCTAGTCTACCGTCTGGACAGAAGACTCCTTCAGGACAGAGGAGGACTCCTCCCCACCCTTTTCTGAGGCTCTTAATTAAGGTCACCGGCGGAAAGAATCAAAAGCACCTCCACCGAACATTTTCTAAAATCACAGACTGAGGGTGAGAGAGCAGCTTCTGAACTCACAGTTCTTGGGAGAGTAAAACTCCCTTCTGGGTGAGTGATCTCAGATATTTAGGAGTCTTGAGTGAGCAAACTCATAATTAGCCCAGCGACACTGTTGACTTAAAACCAGACTTATTTTAGGAAAAAAAAAATTAAATAAGAAAAGAACAGAAAACATTTGGGCATGTAATGAATTTTCACAAAACTGCCATCTTCTTGTACAGAGCAACACAGCAGCGTTCAAAAATTTTTCCTTCCAAGGGGAGCTAGATTAGCAGCCTTTACCTTGACGGCGGAGTGGAGAAAGATAGCTTTCTCCTACAAAAAGGAATTATTTCACCAGAGATTGCAACCCTCTGAATGCGCAGCCAAGGCCGAGAGGAGAGAGCCTGGAGTCTGATCTGCTTTCCGCGTGGGGGGTTCTTTCATTCTTTCACATTAAAATGCAATGCAGCTCAGAATATCAGGGAGAAAATCGAGGCTTCTGCAGTGAATATCCTTGAATTTTTATCATTAAGAGCTGTGGATAGAAGGCAGAGGAGGTGGCTCAGGGAACCCCGTGGGCCGCTGGGTTTTCGGCAAATACGATGGAGAAATGGGCAAGTAATGGGGGAAAATGATAACATGGCAGGCAGTGTGGGCATACTTCGTGGGCGCCATTTGATATATCGCAGTTATTTACCTTTGATGTCAAGGAATGGGAATGAAGTGTATCTTGGTCTAATTAAAAAGGCCTAAAAAGGCATTTGAAATGGGTTTGCTATCTCTTCACGGGATGTGAATTCAGCGTTTGGCAGCTCTCTAAAATATTGCTTGGACTATTTAAACAGAACAATTAGCAGCATGTTAAAATGTTTGTATGCTATGCTTAGAAGCTTTTAGCTATAAACTTTAAGACGCTCTGTTCCCCTTTAAGTTAAAAAAGGATGATGCTGCTTCCTTGTGGCAAAGGCTGTCAGGAACCCACTGATCAATAGAAGTAAACTGGCGCCTCCACGGCTTGATTGAGCGGGAGCAAAGAGTCTGAGAAGTAGTCTCAGCCATTAACAATCCCCCAGGTAACGAGAAATGGAAGAATTACTCAGGTAAAATGATTAACATTGTCGTGGCATCTGAAAAGATGCACACAACAAGATAAGACTAGGGACCTCTTACCTTAGGGAGTGCTAATAGAATGTCTATATTCTGCTGTCTTTTAAAGATAAATAGGAGAATTCAATTCATGCAGAATGTCATTACCTTTGTAATTGCAATCACATTGTAAAGACATGTTCTGCATTTGCAAAGACAAACGCTCTTCACTAAGGCGATGGCATCATTTTCCCTGTTTCCTGCTCACTGCTCACTCTCCAGGCGCCCCTCTTTTCCAAGCAGAGAACCCAAGTACTTCCAGCTCCCAAATCATTTTTACAGAAGCCAGATGCTGAGTGAGGCAGGGGTGTATGCATCTGCTTCCTTTCTTTCTCATTACCTCCCCCAACCCAAGCTCAAAGTGACAGTCACACCCCCAACACACATACAATAGTTCTTTCTTCCCCCATTCTATTTATACTGATATTCTAGCACGTTTACTCTGAGTATTTTTTTCTAACAAGCATACTCAATCATTCTACTGCAATGATGCTATAGGCTAAATGAGTGGTCAGAAACATCTTCATGATCAGGAATTTATTAACTAACCTAATAAAACTGTTCTGCATGTAGATAATAAAAACAAAAAGAAACTTCCTTTATTCCGATCCCAAAGGGAGTCTGTCTCATCTTCTTTAGAGACGCAAGAGGGACATCTAGTGACCATTCTCAGTATTTTTTACCTAAATGTGGATCAACTAGGAGTTGAGCAGCAATGATGAGTGCTAATACTGCAGGCTTCAACTCTCCAGGCCGAGGAAGCTTCTCGGAGCCACTGAGGCTGGAATCAAAACCGGTGATTAGATTTTTTTGTCTTTCAAATTTTATCCGAAATTATGTATGTATGTATATACAGGACAGCTAACATAGTCGTACTGACTTCTATCGCTTTACTGAAAGGAACAGTTAATGATTAATTATTTGATCAAC